TGTTTAAATGAAAATGTCCATGAAGATGGTCTTAAATAGACCGAAACGTCCGACGTTGACTTTATATTAACATTAATACAGCATAATTGCATATTAAGATTTTTGTTTTTTTTTGTTTTTTTTTATATTTTTTTTTATATATATATATATATATATATATATATATATATATATATATATAATATGTGTGTGTGCGCGCGCGTGCTTAAACAAACATAGGTAGTGAAGGAGAGAATAGAATTCGAAAAAAAAACTTATATGCTGCCTTCAATATAATTTTTTTTTTTCTTTACAATTTTTTTGTTGTTGATGATTCGTTGCAAATTTGTAAACACGGCTTTCATTTAAAAATTTCGGTTTAGGTTTTCAGGTCTTGTGCCAAAAACAATGAAGAAAAACACCTGGTAAGGTGAAGGGGAAAAAGACATGCATTGTAACATTATAATGAAAATAAAAGAACAAAAAAACCCATAATTGCCATATTACCAATCTTTGGCACCATTGCAAGCACCGCCATTTCATATTTCACTATGGTAACCAATTGTATAAAATTCTGTTGAAAGGAAGTTGTTTGATTTACATATATAAGTACGCACTTATTTTTTCCGACATATTAATTAACTTCCTCGGAAATCTTGGAAGACACGCCAGGATTTGAAGGCAAGCAGAGTATGCATAGGTGTGGACATGAATTTAAAAAAATATAATCATAAAAAGAGCTTTAAAATAGAGATAATTCTCAGTTATATATTTTCCTTTTTGAGACATATAACGTTGAATAATTTAGACATCATTGAAAGACGAGAGGAAATCACTATGTTGATACATATATTTATTTCCGAGTACTTTCGACAGAGCATAATATCATCATCAAGGTATTTTTTTTTTATTACAGGATAAATATTGTAGTGTTCGTTGTCGTGAAAGACATTAATTATTGTCTTTCACAATAATGAACCCTACAATAATAATCCTGTCATAAATATACCCTGATGATGCCATTATGCTATGTCGAAAGTACTCGGAAATAAATATAATATGTATTAACTCGGTGATTTCCTCCCGTGTTTCAGTAATGACACTAAAAAGCTTATCCGTGAATGTGAAAGATCCTATCGAAAATAAATCGAGAGAACATGATTAAATTATTCAACGAAATATGTCTCAATGAAATCATGTCACCGAAATATCCGCATTTACATTTTTACATATTTTAGTATTATGATGACTATTTGCGGAGAAACATACACGCAGAATTATATATATATATATATATATATATATATATATATATATATATATATATATATATATATGTGTGTGTGTGTGTGTGTGTGTGTGTGTGTGTGTGTGTACATAGACAAGATGTTGTTTGTCTAATTTATTTAACATCGAGCACTGTTTCTTTCTATTTGTATATGATCGTTCGCTCGTATCCCCACCTATATTTAGCCATTCGCTTATATATATATATATATATATATATATATATATGTGTGTGTGTGTGTGTGTGTGTGTGTGTGTGTGTGTGTGCCTGCAGATATGCTTGCTTATCTAAGGTATTGTTTAAATTAACGTACCCATACTTATTGATACTTGCATATGTAAAACCATGCGAAAAATCTTTTGAAAAGCGTAACATTTTTAAGACATTGGCTTTTTGTTTGTGAAATATGAAAGAAACCTGACCTGCAGATCAAATTTAAAGCTAACATCAATATCTCACTGTAGATATTTTCAGACAGGTACGTTGCAATGCGTCGTTCTAGCGGGTGTATGGCAGGGGAAACTATGAATGCTCTCTCCTGATATGGGGACTGCAAATCAGAGGATTATGCACTGCAGAAGGTCTCCAAGCACACACACACACGCACACCCACCCACACACATATATATATGTTAAAACATTTTTTATGTTTATATGTATGTGTATATGTGTGTGTGTGTGTGCGCGCGCCTGAGAGAGATAATGTTGAGACAAAACGGAAATTTATTTTTCAAAGACGTGTTTCACCGAAGAAAGCTGATGTTATTTTTGGTGTCATCAGTTTGAATAAAACTAATCCATGTGTTAGATAAGTCTCTTGGGCCTTCTGAGGATAAGTTGGTCCACGTAAATCACTTGAATTACTCTCGCTTATCCCTTCTTGGCTTTTGACTTAAAGTGAGCCTGTAATCTGTCTCAGCTTTCTTTTATCGATATCTGCATTAGAGCCATTTGGTATTGTAAGATTTTAATTCAGGAAAATATCATTATTATTATTATTATTATTATTATTATGTATACCTACATCCATATACATTCATCATAGTTTTGTCTTTTATTCAAACTGATGACGCCAAAGAGAACACAAGCTTTCTACTGTGAAATGCGTCTTTGATAAAAATAAAAACATTGTCTCAGCATCTTCACTTTTGTTTCAGATACACTTATATACAATCTACAAACACACACGTACACACACACACACACACACACACACACACATATATATATATATATATATATATATATATATATATATGGAGAGAGAGAGAGACAGAGATATTGATATAGATAGAATAAAGGAGCAAAACACTTGGTTTCGACCTTTATTTATATATATATATATATATATATATATATATATATGAAGAAAAAGGAAAACTTTTCTTAGTCGACACGTTTCGTCTTCTGATGAACTTTACAAGGCAAATGTAAAGATTTTATTTTTAAAATACTGAAAAACTAACGAATTTTCCTTCTGGCTTTAAATACTTCGTCTAAAATAAAATCCTTACATTAGCGTCGGCTTAGAAAAGTTTTTTTTTCTTTATTGAAATTGTCTACATACGGATGTATTTTAGTCATATCTGAATTTTACAACCCCCCCCCCCATATATATATATATATATATATATATATATATATATATATATATATATATATATATTCATTAGTTTCGGCTGGATTTTTTTACACGTAACAAATTAACTGCAATCTACTTTTTCGTTGGAAACTTCCGCTGGTGATAACCATGCATGTGGTCTTCCATTTTCCTGACCTTTGCAATGCGTGTCGTGCACAAAAATAAAATATCTGCTTTGTTTTCATGACTGATTCATTTGAGAAGAAACGATTCGCGTCTTCCGTGTTTGGAGCCGCGTAAGAATTTGAAAAAAAATTGACATTTATCAAAAAACAAAAACAAAAAAAATAAAAACATTATTTTTCAGATGATCTGCAAAATTCACTTAGCTTCAATGACATCGCTTAGTCTTGGAGCCGTCATGAAGATGGGAACTGAAAAAATGTCGTTTTTGGACTTGCCCAAAAGAGCAGCAGCGTTTCTTCGGCAACAGTTGACGTGGACAAAATGATGAAAGTTTTTTGAAGAAGTAAACGCTAAACATGAATTTGCTTAGAAATCTTCTAGTTTAGTTTAAACTAGGTTAGATTTCGAGAAGTCTTCAGATGTAAAATCAATTAAAATTATTGAAAGTAGCACGATTTGGTTTTGTTTACAAAATAAAAGATTTTTTCCATGAGACATCCTTTATGTATTGGATGTTGTGCAGAAATTTTTAAATACAAAGATTTATATAAGTAAATATTAAGTTATTTTCGCCTGTATATTATTTAAGGGAATAGAAGTTCTGCCAAACATCCAGTACTCCCCTGCCGATTAAATTCAAGCATATCAATACATACATGCATATATATATATATATATATATATATATATATATATATATATATATATATATATATATATATATATATATATATATATATATATATATATATATATATATATATATATATGCGAACAAAAAGACAAGAAAGAAAAACTATTCTTAGGCGACGCGTTTCGTCCTCTCAGGGACATAATCAAGGTAAAAGTAAGTATTTATTTTGTTGCACGTGTTTATATACACGAGCAAGGATGCGATTGCTTTATCAAGGCTGAAAACAAAAAAAAATATTTATTGAAAATTACTAGATTACTTTTATCTTACCAGACTTCCTCCACGTCTTTTGACTGACCTTTAAACCACCTAATGAGTATTCATGAACATTCTGAAATTTAAAAACCTTGATAAAACTATGAAATCCTTACTCTTGTATATAAACACGTGCAACAAAATAAATCCATATTTTGCGTTGATAAACTCCCACAGAGGACGAAATGAGTCGGCTAAAAGTAGTTTTTCCTCTTATCTTTTTATTCATTCTGTTTTTTTATAGATACACTTTATGTGAATGTGATATATATATATATATATATATATATATATATATATATATATATATATTTCTTTTATACCACGTCAGCTGAAGAGTCTTCACCGATCAAAATGTTCTGTTTATTTTTAGCTGAGATATAAACTATTGACACACGTTGGAAGTTCTTTATTGGACATTTGTGTTGATGGTACTGAAATCAAAGGTGCATGTTTGATAACACTTGGCTGTAAATTACCGCCTTTTACTTTTGTAATTAAAGCTATTGCAAAAGGACGCTTGCATTCTGAGGACGTCAAAATATATTTGCTATACTCATTTTAGCCCGACACAGAGTCGAGCAGAAACAGTAACAGGAAAATGGCATCTGTCTGGGACCAATATTTCAATCCGAGAACGACTTGTCTTGGAGATCATAATTTAAACATCCTTCTTTTGACCATGTGTGAGAACCGTGACATGTAGAGTTGTTGGGAAATATAACATATATATCACCCACCAAGTGTATATATTAATTTGATTTTTACGGCTTATCACCCTTTGAAAGGTAATGTAAAGCCCCAAAACATTTCTAGATTGTTAGAATTCTGTAAGATAATGATATTTTTTACTGATACAAGTTCTAATAATTAACCCATAGACGGAGGGAGAAAACGTGGATTCATACCTTTCCCAGGGGTATTTGCGCATAGGTGACTATAACGAACCAGACTGGAACTCGTCTCTTCGATTTGCAGTTCCGAACCGTTACCATTACACCACCCGCACACCCAAGCTTACACCGCTTGGTATTATCAAGCGGTCACCCATCTAGGTAATGACCAGGCTCGACGTTGCTTAATTTTAGTGATCGTACGAGAACCGGTGTTTCAACGGTGTTTATTCGCTATATATATATATATATATATATATATATATATATATATATATATATATATATCGTACCAGACCTCGGCAGCTTGTTTCTTCGTGTTTCAGTAGAAGTGACATCCGAGAAAAGGTTTTTGTACAGGCTTTACAGCTGTATTTCTTGACATCCGAATGCGTCTGTAGATGAGCCCGAAGATTTGAGCGATCGGCAAAAGCGCGTCCACAATGCGAACATTTAAATGGTTTTTCTCCAGTGTGGGTCCGAATATGTCCTTGTAAGAGCCAGGGTCGGGAGAACGCCTTTCCGCATACTTTACACTTGCAAGGTAGCGTGTGCGTACGAATATGCATCTTTAGAGCCCCAAGAGACAGATAGGTCTTATTGCAATATTTACAAATGAACTCCTTTTTTGTCTGAGTGCTGCAGTGGTACTGTTTGTGCCGGGATAGACCGCTGAGAGTTGAGTAGCTTTTACTACACGCTTCGCACACAAACTTTGGTGTGGCCTCCCCTTCTGATCCCGACCGAACTTTACGCTTCCCCACAGAAATAGCCGAATCAACACTTCGAGGAGAGTGTTCGAGAGATGACGTCGGGGACATGTTCATTAGAAGCTGATCCAGTCTTTGCTGCGAAAGCTTAGCGTCAAAATCGTAGCGATCGATCCTTTTCGGGTCGGGAAAAATGCGGTCAGGGCTTGGAGTGAGGCGGGAAAAACACGGAGACGTGTGACGATGAGGATGATGATGGGAAACGGCGCTCGTTGGGAGAAGTGGTAGGCATGGCACGAATTGGGTTCGTCGATAAATTGAAGGATCCTGCTTGTAAAGGTGCAGTGGGAAATGGGGCTCGCAATGCGACCCTAAGGCCGGTAGAGTAGGCAGAGGACAATGCGAAGTGACATAGGTAGGTGGAGGACTTGGATGCGGATGGAGCGTATGTGCCGGCTGGATCAAGGTCTGGTTCGGCCATCCTGGCAGATCGAGCTGACGTGGCGCCTGCGATGGACTCACGTTTGGTGAGCGGCTTGAACATGGAAGTTCAAGAACGCACGGTTGACATGGACTGAGGTCCTCTTTAGTGATTGGTGCAACGACATGCTGAGCAATTGGGCCATAGTTAGGTTCTAGTCTGTTTAACTCCAACGTTACTGAAATTAAAAAAAAAAAAAAAATAAGATATAAGATAACAAAAAACAAAAACGCGTTATACAGTAACGAATTATACATTTCATTTTTTTTTTCTAAAGCAGAAAGGTGTTTCGGTGTGAATTAAGTTTTGTCTTAATTTCACTTTAATAAAGGCAATAAAGAAAATAAAACTCAAAGGAGTTACTGAGCATGAATGACCATGAGAGAAAGAAATACAATATTATTAAGGATAGAAAATTAAAAAAAAGAACAGGAATTAAGAAGACAGAAGTTAACGATTGACATTGTATTTAATTTTTGTAGATCAAACTTGACTAAAAAGCAAGAAGGTGGAAGAAAATTTCACAAGAGAGAAGAAACAGCATAGAATTTATCGTAACATCTAGCCATTTTAACTATAAAATTGTGAGACCCATCTGTCAGTCTAGTCAGGTATGTGTCATGTGTGATACACGCTTAGGCGATCATATATCTTTCGATACATGACTGACGAGATAGATTTTTCCCCGCAGTAGATTGCCATTTCTTTCTGCGGTAGACCAGTTGCCAATCAATGTCGTGTTATTTACTCATAGCTGGTGGGAGGAGAGAAGAGAAGGATCCATACCTTTCCGCAAGGTTATTAGCACGTAAGTGAATGTAATGGATTTTATTGGAATTCGAACTCGTCTCTCCGATTCCTCAATCCGAGCGACTATCCTTTACTCCACCGTGCCTGGGATCAACCTCTCCAGTCCGATAACATCATATGGTGAGATTCGAACCCCGGTCTCATGGTTAGAATGCGAACGTTCTAACCACACGGCCACGTGCCCAGGATATTTACGTAAGCAAGTTACTAACTTCCCGGCTCGGGGGGAATTAACAGAATGACAGGAGAAATTCATAAGTTTTATACTAAGATGTTTCATTAATTTAATTTAATAGAACCCATTCTGTACTGATATTTACCCATAGCTAGGGGTTGGGGTGGGGGTGAAGAAGAGGATTCCTACCTTTCCAAAGGGTATTAGCATGTAAGTGAATGTAATGGATTCGACTGGAAATCAGTCTAGTACTGCGCTTAAATTCATAGTCGAGGTATCATAGAATAATTTTAATCCGAACAATTACTGTGAAAGTATTTATAGAAAAGGCACGGGGAATCCACGTTACGGCGGTTGAAAAGTGACTGAAGCCGAGATGCCGTGTCAGGATCGATAACATTGCAGATTTTTCTGTGAATTTTATAAAGGACCTCGAAATGTATATCAGATGCACCAGACAAGACGGGAACAATGCATGGACGAATGATATACTTGTAAATTTGTAAGATAGAGGTTGGCGATAAAATTATCCAGTACGACACAGTGACCCCTTCTTTCTTAGTAATAGACTTTGAGTCATCGTATTTCCACTTCATATTCGCTGATACTGATACAGAGAGGCCCACAAAAACACCAAACACACACTCAGAGAAAAAGAGAGAGAGAGAGTGAGAGAAGAGAAAGAGAAGAGACGAGAGAGAGAGAGAGAGAGAGAGATTAACGAAATAAATTATATATGTGTATGGGTGTGTTTGTAGGGATAGTTCGACAACGAAAGAAATTTGAAGGAGAGTGAAAAATAAGCAGTAACAACAACAACATCGATAACAACAACAACAACAATAATAATAATAATAATTATTATTATTATTATAATAATTATTATTATTATTGTTGTTTTTGTTGTTGTTGTTGTCGTCGTTGCTTATTATTAGGCCTTTGGACTTTTCGGATACTTCCTCATAATTTACTAAAAATATTATCATTATTATTATTATCATTACTATTGTTGTTGTTGTTGTTGTTGTTGTTATCGATGTTGTCGTTATTACTGCTTATTTTCACTCTCTTTCAAATTTCTTTCGTTGGCGTACTACCCCTACAAACACTGTCCTGGGTAAGACGATAAACTACGTCCAACAGCCAGGCCTCTGATCAGGAGGTTTTCAGGAGCGTGTAACCACCTCTTAATTGCTGGTGTTTCCAGGTCCAGCCTGACCCGGGGTGGTAGCACCTGTTGGAGTCCCAGCTATGGGCAAATAGTTAACCTCCAAACTCGGATCAAAACACTATGAAAGTGTAAAGATAGGTTTTAATACCAGAAATACTTTGTATAAATATAGCAATATATTTTTGAAAAATAAGTATTGCCAGCAATACATTTTTTGAAAAAATAAGATATTAACAGTGAAAGAAAATTCTTACCAGAAATAGATTTTTGAAGGAAAAAATATTACCAGAAATAGATTTTTGGAAAAAAATTATTGCCAACAATGAAAGTTTTGTCGGCATTGGATAGCCCATTCAGGTTGATATGCCGTAAAACAAACCAAACCAAACCCTACGCATACACATATATAATCTCTCTCTTTTCTTTTCTCTTCTCTCTCTCTCTCTCTCTCTCTCTCTCTCTCTCTCTCTCTCCGTGTTTGGTGATTTTGTGGGTGCCTATGTATCAATATTTTTGTAAATAAGCCAACCTAATTTCTCTCATATTCAAATCAGGAGTAAGGAATCGAAATAGCACTCAGCTTTTCGCCGTTTTTTTTTTTTTTAGAATGTCTAAACGGCGCGGGAAGGCAGGTTCTACAGAGAGACAATGCCTGTTGTTTTTTGTCGGGTAACACCGGACAGGGTGGCACGCGCCACATGTCGGGTACTGTACTGTCGTTTGGTTTAACAGGGGTGGGCGGCAGGTTAGCTATTGAACGAACAAAGGCTTGCCAGGGGTGTCAGCGACGTATAATGAGGGTTTGCTTAAAATGAGTCGACCAACCAATAGGCACACTTTTGTTAAGGCAAGAAATTACGGGGAAAGAAAATGCTTTGGGTTTCGTATCTGAAACCACGCTTGGAAATGGTTGACAACCACGAAATTTGCGTCTGAAGATGGCGAAAAGGATGACGTCAAAGATTGCTTAGTTACCTGTATTCCTTCTTTTCTTCCTTTCTTTTTCCGTTTTTTTTTTTTTTAATAAGCTTTATAATTTATAAAATATAATGTTCTTTTTTTTTGCCCCTTATATTCTAATATTTATTTCTTAAATATTTTACAATTTTTTTTTTCTTTCTCTTCTGGAAAAATTAGTTTTTTTCTTTCCTTTTCACTTTTTTCACTTTTTCCTTTCTTTTGTTGTCCTAGTATTTTTTTTATTTTCTTTATGCTTGCTTTCTAAATGAATTCACTTTCATCTTTGATAACAAAACATTTCTTTATCATTTTTCTATTTCTTTCTGTTATCATTTCGGGTGACAATTTCACTGGAAGTATTACTCAAAATTAATTCTTAGTTTAAAACTTTCTTATTTTTCCTAGCCTTTTCTCTTTCTTTCTTTCTTTCTCTTTTGAAATTCATTATCATTATTTCGTTACTAGCAACCTCTTTCTTTTCTCTCTTTCTTTCTCTTTTTTTTCTGTCTTTCTTTTATCCGTTTTGCATATAATTTCGCCATCACCATATCTTTTATTTCGTTTTTTTTTTCCTTTTTCAGTCTATTTCTTTATCTTTTACACTTTAGAAATTCATTGTCTTTCTTCGTTCCTAACAACGTCTTTCTTTCTTATCTTTCTCACTTTCTTTCTTTTTTCTTTGTTTGTCTTTTTTTTACCCGTCTTGCACATAATTCGCTATCATGATTCGCCAATATTCTTTTTATTTATTTATTTATTTTCTCCGGCTTTTTTCCTTATCCTCTTTCTTTCTTCATCTTCTTTCTTTCTTTATCTTCTTTCGTTAACTTTTTTCTCTCTTTATCTTCTTTCTCATTTTCCTTATCTGCTTTCTTTCCTCATCTTCTTTCTTTCGTCATCTGCTTTCTTTTCTCATCTTCTTTCTTTCCTTATCATTTTTCTTTCCTTACCTTCTTTCTTTCTTTCCTCATCTTCTGTCTTTCTCTCCTTATATTCTTTCGTTATTTCCTCTCTTTCCTTACATTCTTTCTTTCCTTATCTTCTTTCTTTTCTCATCTTCTTTCTTTCCTCCTCTTCTTTCTTTCTTTCCTCATCTTCTTTCGTTAACTTCTTTCTTTCTTTCCTCATCTTCTTTCTTTCCTTATCTTCTTTCTTTTCTCATCTTCTTTCTTTCCTCCTCTTCTTTCTTTCTGTCCTTATCTTCTTTCGTTAACTCCTTTCTCTCCTTATCTTCTTTCTTTCTTTCCTTATCTTCTTTCTTTTCTCGTCTGCCGTCTTTCCTCCTCTTCTTTCTTTCTTTCTTTCTTTCTTTCTTTCTTTATCTTCTTTCGTTAAGTCCTTTCTCTCCTTATCTTCTTTCTTTCTTTCCTTATCTTCTTTCTTTTCTCGTCTGCCTTCTTTCCTCCTCTTCTTTCTTTCTTTCTTTCTTTCTTTCTTTCTTTCTTTCCTTATCGTCTTTCTTTTCTCGTCTGCCTTCTTCCCTCCTCTTCTTTCTTTCTTTCTTTCTTTCTTTCTTTCTTTCTTTCTTTCTTTCTTTCCTTATCTTCTTTCGTTAACTCCTTTCTCTTCTTATCTTCTTTCTTTCTTTCCTTATCTTCTTTCTTTCCTCATCTTCTTTCTTTCCTTTCCTTCCCTTCTTTCTTTCTTTCTTTCTTTCTTTCTTTCCTTATCTTCTTTCGTTAACTCCTTTCTCTCCTTATCTTCTTTCTTTCTTTCCTTATCTTCTTTCTTTCCTCATCTTCTTTCTTTCCTTTCCATCCCTTCTTTCTTTCTTTCTTTCTTTCTTTCTTTCTTTCTTTCTTTCTTTCTTTCCTTATCTTCTTTCGTTAACTCCTTTCTTTCCTTATCTTCTTTCTTTCTTTCCTTATCTTCTTTCTTTCCTCATCTTCTTTCTTTCCTTTCCTTCCTTCTTTCTTTTTTTTCTTTCTTTCTTTTTCTTTCTTTCTTTTTTTCCTTATCTTCTTTCGTTAACGCCTTTCTCTCCTTATCTTCTTTCTTTCTTTCCTTATCTTCTTTCTTTTCTCATCTTCTTTCTTTCCTCCTCTTCTTTCTTTCTTTCTTTCTTTCTTTCCTTATCGTCTTTCTTTCCTCCTCTTCTTTCTTTCTTTCTTTCTTTCTTTCTTTCTTTCCTTATCTTCTTTCGTTAACTCCTTTCTCTCCTTATCTTCTTTCTTTCTTTCCTTATCTTCTTTCTTTCCTCATCTTCTTTCTTTCCTTTCCTTCCCTTCTTTCTTTCTTTCTTTCTTTCCTTATCTTCTTTCGTTAACTCCTTTCTCTCCTTATCTTCTTTCTTTCTTTCCTTATCTTCTTTCTTTCTTTCCTCATCTTCTTTCTTTCCTTCCCTTCTTTCTTTCTTTCTTTCTTTCCTTATCTTCTTTCGTTAACTCCTTTCTCTCCTTATCTTCTTCCTTTCTTTTCTTATCTTCTTTCTTTCTTTCCTCATCTTCTGTCTTTCTCTCCTTATCTTCTTTCGTTATTTCCTCTCTTTCCTTACCTTTTTCTTTCCTCATCTTCTTTCTTTCCTCGTCTTCTTTCTTTCCTCATCTTCTTTCTTTCTTTCCTTAGCTTCTTTCTTTCTTTTCTTATCTTCTTTTTTTTCTTTCCTTATCTTCTTTCTTTCTTTCTGTCATATAGATTATCATTAACCTTACTCCTTCTTTTTCCTTTAACTTTTCGGTCATTCTTTGCTTCCTTCACCCGAAGTCTTACCACTGTTCAATTATTTTTTCTTCTTATTGTATTGAGCAGGTGTTGCACCGTCATCTGTCGCTCAGCGACACCCGCCATTTCTTATCAAAATTTTTTAAGGGCAAACAATGAAGGACCCCAAAACACAAAACACTAGGATAGAATTAAACAAAGAAATGAAAGCTAAAAAAAAAAAAAAATGAAAAGGAGAAAGGAGGGTACAAAAATATATCTGTACAACTCATATGCCAAAATAAATCTGGTGTTGTATTCTTATTAAATTTAAATACAGTTCCGTTGTGTACGAGAATGAATGCATGCCACCATGCATTATTATTATTATTATTATTATTATTATTATTATTATGCTTTTCCTTTTGTACAGTCCCTTAGCCGAGACCTCGGGTAAAGGATAGTAGTAAATTCAGTTGAACCTCTGTTCACGAATTTAATTCGTCCCTGAAGGTCGTTCGTAACCCGAAATGTTCGTAAACTGAAACTATTTTTCCAATAGAAATAAATGTAGAGAAAAATGTCACAGTGCAATAAAATTGGAAAAGAAAAGCACAGCACAACAGACGAATATATACAACACAACGGTCGACTCAGAAATGATTCCGTTCGGCTTAAATCGGTTCGAAATGTTGTTCAAGAAATGAACTTTTGTTCGATAACCGAGGCATTTTCAACGCGAATGTTCTGTTTTTATTATTTATATACCAACGGATTAATTACATGTACTATACATATATATACATACATACGTACAAACACACAAACACACACACACACATATATGTGTGTGTGTGTGCATGCGTGTGAGTTTGTGTGTGTATAAAAAATATATATATATATATATATATATATATATATCTTAATTTAATTTGTTACTTAAAAGTTATATTTAATGTATCCCCATAGTACAACAGAGGGTTAAAGGTGTTAATGCTTGGATTATATCCCATTGGATTTATTACCTGTACACACACACACACACACACACACACACACACACACATATATATATATATATATATATATATATATATATATATATATATATATAAATATATATATATATAAAAACATATATATTTATAATTTATTACACTGAATTTAAACTATATATATATATATATATATATATATATATATATTTATCTATATCTATCTATCTATCTATCTATCTATCTATATATATATATATATATATATATATATATATATATATATATATATATATATTAATTTATTACTTAATACTTATTTTTAATGGATACCGATATTACGGTAGATGTTCTGTTTTTCTGTATTAATTAAACGGTATATTTATTTGTTTCCATCTACCGGCCTGAATATTCGAGAAATATTGTTATTATTGTTATTATGAAATAATTCTCCGATTCTGTCAAAGATCACATAGAAGTTGTAATCCTCAATATGCATTTGAAGAGGAAAGATACATTGACATTATTTGTATGCTCGTCCACTACACTAATTAATTCATATTCAATGCGAAACAAAAGGCCCGTAAAAATATTTTTAAAATGGGAAAAGTGTGGACCATTCTGACAAATCCAACGTATCAATATATTGATTTTCCAAGCGTAGCTTAGATTTGGCACAAGGCCGAAAGTATGGTGCACCGAGTGAGGATCGAACTCACCATTCAGTCGTAATTGTTCTAGCGAGACAAACTTGCTAACCATTACACCGCCTTGGAGTGCCCAAATAGTGATTTTCCAAGCGTAGCTTAGATGTGGCACAAGACTGGGAGTAGGGGGCACCCAGTGAGGATCGAACTCACTACTCAGTTGTAACTGTTCTAGCGAGATAAACTTGTTAACCATTACACATCCTCGAGGTGCCTAACGAATCAATATATATTATGTTACACAACAACTCACTCATAATTACAATTAAATAGAAGCTTAACATAAAATTTGATACAACTACTTCTAAGACAATAAAAAATTTAATAAATACATAAAAAAATAATAATTCAAAAATGAAAGGAAAGAATTTATTCCATAACCTGTAATAATTGCCACAAGAAATACATAGGAAAACCTCAAGGAATTTAAATAAAAGACTATATGAACACAAAAGGGATTTTTTACCAAGTAATACATTCAATTGATTAGTTGTTCACCGTAATGAATCCAGCCATTATTTTGATTTAAAAATGTTAATTTAATTGGGCAGAGTATTCTATAGCAACAGCAGCAGCCACAGCAGAAAAGAGAAGTTTCGGTTGGTGCAGTCAAGTGTGACAAGCAGCAGAAGCACTTATCTGAAGGCAGTTCAGGTAGTTTAGATTTAAGACCTCAAGTTCTCTACTCAGGATCCTGGTTCAAAGTGTTAGTTCCTGAATTTAGTGGGATAGTACTGGTGAGTTAATTCTCTGGGTCAGGTAGTTTGAACCTAGTCCTTTCCTATATGGGTGACAACTTGGCAATGACAGATGTTGTAAGCTTGGATGTGCGGGTAGTGTATGGATAACGGCTGGGAACTGGAGATCAAGTTCCAATTCTGGTCAGGTTCATTGTATTCAGTTACGCGCAAGCACCCTTGGGAAAGGTATGAATCCACCTTTTCTCCTTCCGGCTATGGATTAATTTGTAGGACTTAAACACTAAAATCATTATTATCTAAAAACTGATTATTCCAATCTAAAACAATTTTCTGGCTTTAAATAACCTGTAAAAGGTTGATAAGTTGTAAAAATCAAAACAAATCAATAAACAATGCATCCAGTGACGATATTTTTCCGCTTAAATACAGAAAAGGTGGCACAAGACCGAAATGGGGAAAGGGACGGTCGTAAATTTAAAACTTAGATAGCCACAGACACTGACCCAAACATACCACAATATTCCTAACACAAAAACAATGTATTCTTAATTACCTTTCTTACTACATTCACCATAATACCTCATTGTCTCTATGAAAATCCTAACTAGTCCCCATATGTACATTTTATTGGCTATTGCACAATAACGGAGAGCTTGAATGATTACCATAAAATTATTTATAAAAAAGACCCAGAGAAGCAAACTTAATTAAAAAGTAACAGGGGATTATTAGGCTAAGAAGGATTCATAACAGATTAATTTGACTTAAAAAGGTTAGGATTTGATGTTCAAGGAATGATCTTACAACGGTGTGAAAGTTAGAATCTGTAAGAGAGTTCCACAAGCGAGAAGACCAAGAAAAAGATGTTAGCATAGAACTAATGGTTACATCATTTTAAAATTTTATTTAATCTGTTTCACTCCCATGCAAGACAGTAAAGCCACTAAGACACAAGGGGTTAACTGGTTGGGGAAGAATTTGGATCAGAAACATTAATAATGAGCGGGAAGAGGAAATAGTAAGCAGAAGACAATAGATTGACATTGCATTTAAATTTTTGCTGATTAAAGTTGGCTGGAAATCATGGAGCCGGAAGTGAGTTTCATAAGTGAGAAGTGCGATAAAAGAAACGCTTAGCATAGAACTTGCGGTTACATCTGACCAGCTCAACTTTAAATTGATGAATCAAGTACTGCGCTTAAATTTAAAAAGTCTAGGTACCATAGCGAAAAGCTCATCCGAACAATGACCATGAAAGTGTATTTATAGAAAAGACATAGGGGAGACAACTGCCGGGTGTTGACATCAATGTCCACTTATATATTTATATATATATAATTTGTGTATTTAGGAACCAATCCTTCTTTCATGCACATTTCATTGAATACAATAGACAAGGTGCTTTGATTTATTTTTTGATACAATTTCTCATGCGATCTATTTTTTTTTCTTTTCAGATGATAAATTATATAAAACTGCCCGGATGTTCTTTTCTTCCGAGCTCTTTCGGCTATACATTTAGCCATTTTCAAGGATGAAATATTTTAACTGTTAAATAAGAAATAGTTTGTTGCATGTATGTATTTATATAATGCTTTCATTTTTCAGAACACGGTCAAGATATTGTGTCCATGTTCACAGTTGATATTATTGAGTGTGTTTTTTTTTTTATTAATAAGGCTTCCATTATTTTTAGCCTTTTTTTTTTGCATGTAGATGATGCTATTATATTAGTGTTGTCAACAAGTATGTTACGAACAGTATCTCCATGAATATTTAAATGAGATCTAACTGAGCTTTGTTCAGAAAGGCGTAGAGTGAGTCTGCTTGTAAGACATCTTGTAGTGTGGCCTATATAATTATTCACGAATTTTGATTGGTGAGGAATACAATTGCTTAATAGGCATATATATATATATACGTTTCTTCATATCTATCTGAAAACAATTGCTTATGTATGTATGCTCGAACGCATATATATATATATATGATATATAGGATTGGTGTATACGGAATAAATTCCAATAACCAATAATTACTATTTTTAAAAAAGAATGGGGTCCGGTAGGTCTCCGTGAATATTTAAATGAGATGTAATTAAGCTATGTTCAGAAAGGTGTAGAATATATGTATCTGCGTGCGCATAAAACTATTGCCAAGCAAGGCAATAAAGCCACTAAGGAGCAGAGAATTAATACGTGTGAATGAACATAAGAAAATGAA